GAGACAAGGCAAGTCTCTTCTGTCCATGAGCCTGTGAAATCAAAAGCAAGTTAGTACTTCCAAGATAGAATGCGGGTACAGGCCATTGCATCGATGCTCCTATTCAAAAGGGAGAAACTGGCCAAAACAAAGGGGCTACAGGCCCCATACAAGTCTGAATCCAGCAGGATAGTCATTAAATCTCAAGCTCCAAAATATCTCCTTTGACTCCATGTCTCACATTCAGGGCATGCTGATGCATAGGTGGGCTCCAAAGACCTTGGGCAGCTCCTCCCCTGTGGCTCTGTAGGATACAGCCCCCTTGGCTGCCTTCACAGGCTGGTGTGGAATGCCTGTGGCTTTTCCAGGCACATGGTGCAAACTGTTGGTGGATCTACCATTCTGGGGTCTGGAGGACAGTGTCCTTCTTCTCACAGCTCCACTAGACGTGCCCCAGTGGGACTTTTGTGAGATTCCAGCCCACATTTCCCCTCAAGTTCTCCATGAGGTCTGTCCCTGCAGCAGACTCGCCTGACATGCAGACATTTCCATACATCTCTGAAATCTAAACAGGGATTCCCAAGCCTCAATTCTTGCTTCTCTCACCCGCAGGGCCAACATCAATAATAGAAACACCACAAGGCTTGGGACTTGCACCCTCTGAAGCCACAGCCCAAGCTGTTACCTGGCCCTTTTAGGCCACAGATGGAGCTAGAGAGGCGGGACACAGGGTGCTATCCCAAGCTGCACAGATCAGTGGGGACCCTGGTCTCAGCCCATGAATCAATTTTGCCTTCTAGTCTCTGGACCTGTGATGGGGAGGTGCTGCATGAAGCTCTCTGAAATCCCTTGCCGACATTTTCCCCATTGTCTTTGCTATTAACATTTTGGGCTTCTCTTTACTGTACGTAAAATTTCTGCGCTGGCTTGAATTTCTCCCCAGAAAATTGATTTTTCTTTCTACCACATTGCACAGGCTTGCAAATTTTCCAACATTTATGCTTGCTTCCTTTTTAAACAAAATTCCAATTTAGACCAATCTCTCTGTGAAACATATGACTACTGTTAGAGAGCAGCCAGGTTATTTCTTGGAATGCTTTGCTGCTTAGGGAATTTTCTTCTGCCAGATACCCTAAATCATCTCTCTCAAGTTCAAAGTTCTACAGATCTCTAAGGCAGAGGCACAATGCCACAGTCTCTACTAAAGCATAGCAAGAGTGAGCTGTACTCCAGTTCCCAAAAGTTCCTCATCTCATCTGAGACTACCTCAGTCTGGACTTTTATCCATATCACTATCAGCGTTTTGGTCAAAACCTTAATGAGTCTCTAGAAGTTCTAAACTTACCTACACTTTCTGTCTTCTTTGAGCCCTCCAAACTATTCAAACTGCCATTCCAGTTCCAAAGTAACCTCCACATTTTCAAGTGTCTTTATAGCAGTACCCCACTCTGGGTACCATAATCCGTATTAGTCCATTTTCACAGGGTTATAAAGAAATTACCTGAGGCTGGGTAATATATGAAGAAAGAGGTTTAGTTGACTTACAGGTCAGCACGATGGAGGAGGTCTCAGGAAACTTACAATCATGGCAAGAAGGTGAAGGGGAACCAAGCAGTCTTACATGAGGAGCAGGAGAGGAGAGTGAGCAATGGGGGAATGCCAACATTTTCAAAACGACCTGATCTTGTGAGAACTCACTATCATGAAAGAGCAAGGGGAAGTCTGCCCCATATTCAATCACCTCCCACAGGCCCTTCCCAAACACTGGGGATTACAATTGAGATAGATTTGGGTGGGTACACAGAGCAAACATATCCACATATACTATAGCATATACATTATACACATATATACACACCATATATCATATATATACACGATTGCATACACATATATACATGTATAAAATGTGGGTATATATGCATATGTATATATACATATATATGTATATGCCTATAGCACATATATACACATAGAGTAATATATATATGAATGTATTATATAGGACACACCAAAAGTGAAAAACTTGTAGAAATAAAAGAAACAAATCCCACAACCATAGTAATTACATGAATATACTTTTCTTAGAAATTGACAGATTAATAATGTGGCTACACAATGTCTAATAATAGGAGATTGACACGTGCAAGAATATCAGAGGAAAAAAAGATTTTCTAAAAGCAGAAATCAAGCCAGGTATGGTGGCTATGCCTGTAATCCAGCACTTTGGGAGGCCAAGGGGGAGATCACGAGGTCAAGAGATCGAGACCATCCCTGGCCAACATGGTAAACCCCGTCTCTACTAAAAAAACAAAATAGATGGGTGTGGTGGCACGTGCCTGTAGTCCCAGCTACTCTGGAGGCTGAGGTAGGAATCACTTGAACCCAGGAGGCGGAGGTTGCATAGAGCTGAGATCGTGCCACTGCACTCCAGCCTGGTGACAGAGTGAGACTCCATCTCAGAAAAAAAAAAAAAAAAAAGCAGAAATCATGAGGACCAGAGAATGTCTGGCCACAGCATCATAAAATCAGCGATAAATTAATAAGATAGCTAGAGGAGAGTATTATACTATGAAAAATTTAAAACGTGCTTCTAAGTAACTTCTGAATCACAGAAAATATAAAATTAAAAATATAGGCTATTAGAAACAAATGACATTATAAATATGCAGGATGCAAACAAAGGAGTATTTGGATGAAATTTTATGGTGTTAAATTCATGTATTGGAAAACCAGAAAGATTGAAAATACAAGAGGCTTTTAACTCAAGAAGCTATGAAAAAAACTGAAAGAAAGATAAAAATCAGGCTGATGATATAATAAATCAGTAAAGAAAAACAATAACAAGCCAGGCACAGTGGCTCACGCCTGTAATCCCAGCACTTTGGAGGCCAAGGCAGGTGGATCACCTCAGGTCAGGAGTTCGAGACCAACCTGGCCAACATGGTGAAATCCATCTCTACTAAAAATACAAAAATTAGCCAGGGGTGGTGGCATGTGCCTATAATCCCAGCTACTTGGGAGGCTGAGGCAGGGGAATTGCTTGAGCCGGAGCAATTGCATGAGGCGGAGGCTGCCAGTAAGCCAAGAGCTCACCATCACACTCCAGCCTGGGCGACAGAGCAAGACTCTGTCTCCAAAAAAAGAAAAGAAAAGAAAAGAAAAAGAATAGATTTAATCAATAAAACCAAATAGTGGTTTATTGTAAAGATCAGTTAAATGGACTAGTATGTGACAAGCCAATTTAAGAAATCAGAGAGAAGATACAATCGATAATATTAGAAATGAGAAAGGTGATACAACCAGAGTCATCAAGGTGATGAAAAAGTAAGTGATATGTTCAATAGTATGCCAATGCATTTTAAGACCAGATGGAATAGAACATTTTCATGAAAAATATAATACGGAATAAAGAAAATAGAAAGTGATAACATTGAGTCAAGAAGAGATAGAGGCCAGGCACAGTGGCTCATACCTGTAATCCCAGCACTTTGGGAGGCTGAGGCAGGCGGATCATCTGAGGCCAGGAGTTCAAGACCAGCCTGGTCAACCTGGCGAAACTGTGTCTCTACTAAAAATACAAACATTTTCTGGGTGCACTGGCACACACCTGTAATCCCAGCTACAGGGGAGGCTGAGGCAGGAGAATCATTTGAACCTGGGAGGTGGAGGTTGCAGTGAGCTGAGATCGAGCCACTGTACTCCAGCCTGGGCGACAGAGCAAGACTCTTGTCTCGAAAAAAAAAAAAAGAGATAGATAGAGACCCTGAAGAGAAGAAATTGAAAAGGTAGTCAAAGACTTACTGCTAAAGTTATTGTTTGCTGTTATTTCCAACAAATCTTCAAGGGACAAATAATTCCTTGAAGAGGAATTTGCCCTTGAAGGATAAATAAATGCTTCCAGGGCATTTAAAAAAAAAAAAAAAAAAGGTAAACCTCCTACATTCATTCCATAAGGTTAATATACTCCTGACACTGAACACACACACACACACACACACCACACACCACACACACACACTACAAGAATAGTTTTTTTAAAAGCCCCATCTCAGAGACACAAACTTACTAATAAAATATCAAATCAGGCCGGGTATGGTGGCTCATGCCTGTCATACCAGCACTTTGGGAGGCCGAGGCGGGGCAGATCACTTGAGGTCAGGAGTTTGAGATCAGCCTGGCCAACATGGCGAAACCTCGTCTCTACTAAAAATACAAAAATTAGCCGGGTATGGTGGTGGGCAACTACAATCCCAGTTACTTGGGAGACTGAGGCAGAAGAATCACTTGAACCCGGGAGGTGGAGGTTGCAGTGAGTCAAGATTGTGTCACTGCACTCCAGCCTGGGTGACAGAGAAGACTCCGTCTCGAAAAATTATCAATTCAAATACAGTAGTGACTAAAAAAAAAATCTATTACAGCCATGAAGAGTCCATCCCAATAATGCCAAGATTTTTCAAAATTCATTTATTATTATTATTATTTTTAAGCTACACCTGCTGGAATGCAATCAAAATTTATTGAATTGAAAAAAAAAAAAAAAAGGCCAGTATGGTGTCCCACGTCTGTAATCCCAACTACTCAGGAGGCTGAGGCAGGAGGATTGCTTAAGTCCAGGAGCTCAAGGCTGCCGTGAGTTTTGATCGTAACACTGCACTCCAGCCTGGGTGACACAATGAGACCCTGTCTCTAAAATAAATAAATAGAGAAGATCTGCACACGTAGCTATCCTCAGCCTCAACCCCAAAAAAGTATTTGATAGAATTCAGCATTAACTTCTGGCAATACTCCAAAAATACCAAAAACAATAAAAGAAACTTGCCTGTACCTGACAAAGCAATATTTATTGGAAATACCTGGCACATCAGAATAATAGTGACATATTCAAAGCATTTCCATGTGAATCAGAACAAGACTCTGATGCCTGCTATTGCCAACTGTACTTAACTTTTCACTGAAGTCCCAGCTCATTCAGTAAGAGGGAATTAAAGGAGGAAAGGAAAGGAAGCAGGAATGGCCACTATCGGTCATGGGTATGGCACTGGCAGTGTTGTACTGACAGTCTTCTACCTGGAAACTCTACAAGAGTCAACTGACAAACTTCTAGAACAAATGAGAAATATCAGCAAGGGGGCCAGATCTGAGATCAACCTACAAAAATTAGCTTGTTATTACATGTAAATAGGAACCAATAGAACAAAGTCATGGAAAAAATGATCCGTGTGTGGTAGCAACTAAAACACAATACGCCAGAAAGAAATGTGAAGAAAACTGTAAAATATAACTGAAGGCTATCATAGATAGCATGAATAAATGGAAATACCTCATATCTTGCATGAGAAGATTCATCTTCCAAATGTATAGGTGTTCTCCAAGTTAATCTATAAATGTTAATGAAAGTGATATTGTTAGGATCTGTGTCCCTGCCCAAATCACAGGTCAAATTGTAATCTCCATTGTTGGAGGAGGGGCCTGGTAGGAGGTGACTGGATCACGGGGGTGGATTTCCCCCCTTGCTGTTCTTGTGATAGTGAATTCTCACAAGATCTGGTTGTTTAAAAGTGTGTAGCACCTCCCCCTTCACTCTCTTTCTCCTTCTCCGGCCATGTAGGACATACCTGCTTCGCCTTTGACTTTCGCCATGATTGTAAGTTTCCTGAGGCCTCCCAGCCATGCTTACTGTACAGCCTGCAGAACAATAGGCCAATTAAACCTCTTTTCACAAATTACCCAGTCTCATGTTGTTCTTTATAGCAATCCAAAAATGAATACAGGAAGCAAACAGAGTGCTTGCCTTATCAAATATTATAAAATACTATAAAGCTAGTAAAATGAAAACAGCGAAGATTTTTCACTGGAATAAATGAATAAATCAGTGGAAACTAATTGAGACGCCCATGTGTCTATGAAAATTTAATATATCATAGAGTTGACATTCAATGAGTGAGAAGGTAAAGGAGTATTCAATATAGGGTTGAGACAATGACCATCTATTTGAGGAAATAGAGGAGTTAATATACATCATTAAGTTACGGCCATTTTTACATATGTTATCTGATATGGTTTGGCTCTGTGTCCCCACCCAAATCTCATCTCTAATTGTAATCCCCGCATGTCAAGGGAGGGACCTGGGTGAGTCATGGGGGTGGATTTTCCCCATGCTGTTCTTGTTATAGTAAGTGAGTTCTGATGAGCTCTGATGGTTTAAAAGTGTGGCACTTACCCTTTGCTCTCTCTTTCTCTCTCCTGCCACCAAATAAGATGTGCCTTGCTTCCCCTTCATCTTCTGCCATGACGCCATGATTGTAAGTTTCCTGAGGCCTCCCCAGTCATGCAGAACTGTGAGTCAACTGACTCTATTTTCTTCATGAATTACCCAGTCTCAGGCAGTTCTTTCTAGCGGTGTGAAAATGGACTAATACATTATCTCATTTGAACTTCATATGAATTAACACTCTGAGGGGTAGGCATCATTACTCATTTTATAAATGAGGAACTGAGGGTCAAAGAAATGAAGAAATTCCACCCAGATCACACAGCTGGTACACGCCAGAGACTGAAACCAGGTCCTCTGGCTTCAGGGCCAGCACTCTTTCCTTACACCACACGGCATCCCTCACATTCTTCCATTTTGTCAAAGAATTTCAGTGACTTCCCACCCTAAAAAACAAAATAAATTCCAGATAGATAAAAGAGATATTTGAAAAACTGTAAAGACTGTAAGAGAATATTTTATAATTTTGGGGGTGGGGACGACTTTCTTAAGCAAAATATAAATTCTATAAAGAAGAGAGCTCAGAGATGATGATCCCAAAATGTAAAGCTTTGTTATGACAAAGATGCCATAAACAAATATAAAATAACAATAACAGACTTGGAGAAAATATCTCTGTAATAAATAGAAAAATGAATCATTTTAGAATAAATACAAATGGCCAATACACATCTGAAAAGTTGTACAAAGGCAACAGAAACAAGGGAAGTGCAAATTATATATTCTTAATACATATGTTTATATACCTAAAATATACAATATGAGCCAGCTGTGGTGGCTCACACCTGTAATCCAGCACTTTGGGAGGCTGAGGCAGGTGGGTCACCTGAGGTCAGGAGTTCAAGACCAGCCTGGCCAAAATGGTGAAACCCTGTCTCTGCTAAAAATATATATATACACACGAAATTTAGCCGGGCATGGTGGTGGGCACCCGTAGTCGCAGCTACTCAGGAGGCTGAGGCAAGGGAATTGCTTGAACCTGGGAGGGAGAGGTTGCAACGAGCCAAGGTTGTGCCACTGCACTCCAGCCTGGGCGACAGAGGGAGACTCTGTCTCAAAAAATGACAAAAATAAAAATAAAATAAAATATACAACATGGATATATATGTATGTACTATATATGTAATTTTTTATTATAAATATAATGTATTATATAACTGTGTATAAATGTTTTTTTCTCAAGATAGGAAAAATTCTATTTGGTTAATATCCAATGACAGCAAAGGTAAGGAGAAGTAAGTACTCACAGATGCTGGTGGGATGTATCTTAAAGTAGATAACATAGAAATCTTAGAACTGGGCTTAATCAGATGTCAACATGGTGGATTAGCGTCTAAGAATAGAGTTGCCTTAGCCTCTACAGATGGTGTGAAAACCTTTTTTGCTAAAATTTTATTTCTATGTATCAATCATAGAGAAATATTCTTGTGCAGGATGGAACCAATACACAGATATTTATCTCAGAATGGTTTGCCATCAAGAAAAATTTGAAACACTCTAATCATTAATCAATAAAGGAATGTTTCAGTTACGGCATATCCATAGGACATAATTGTTTGTAATAGTTAATAACATGTCAATTAATTTTTATGTATTGATATGGAATGACCAACAGGGCAAAGTGTTACACAGGAAAAAAAAATTGCTTATTGCAAATCAATACATAGGGTATGATCTCATTTCTGTAAAACAAAAAGTGAAGCAAAACTGTATCCTTACGTAGGTATTGTTCTGGTTATCTACTGCAACATAACAATTCACCCCACAATGTAATGGCTTAACACGATGACATTTAATTTGCTCATGAATCTGCCATTTGGGCGTGGCTGGGAAGGGACAGCTTGTTTCTGCTCCACTGGGTGTCAGCTGGAAGCTGGGGCTGGTAGCGCCTTCAAGCTGGCGTGCCCATGTATCTGATGGTTGGCACTAGCTACCACTTGGGACCTCAGCTGAAGAAGTGGCTGGACCACCTGTGTGCAGCCCTTCCAGAAGGCAGAGTCCCAAGTGTGAGCATCCACAAGAGGAAGGGATCAGTCAGAAACTGTGTCTGATTGTTGTCCTGCCTTAGAAGTCTCACGGTGTCATGTCCCATGCATTCTCCAGGTCAAAGCAGGCATACAGGCTCATCTGCAGTTAAGGGCGGGAAACCAGGCTCTACTCTTTCATGGGAGAGGTGTGAGGTTTGTGCACATTTCAAAACCACCCTAAAAGTGTGTGTATCATTTTGTAGAAAAAGAGCTATAGGTGTGGTGGCTCAAGCCTGTAATCCCAGCATTTGGGAGGCCAAGGTGGGCTGATCACCTGAGGTCAGGAGTTCGAGACCAGCCTGACCAATATGGTGAAATCCCGTTTCTACTAAAAATACAAAAATTAGCTGGGCATGGTGGTGCACGCCCATAGTCCCAGCTACTAAGGAGGCTGAGGCAGTAGAAGTGCTTGAACCCAGGAGGCAGAGCTTGCAGCGAGCTGAGATCCAGCCTGGGCAACAGAGTGAGACTCTGCCTCAAAAAAAAAAAAAAAAAAAGAAAAGAAAAAGAAAAAGACCTCTAGAGATAGATGCCCACCAACCGCTGATGATTGTTGACTTGGTGAAGTTGGGAGGATTGGGAAGTAGAGGTGGTGGGTGAATTGGTTAGTATGCAAACCCAGCTTGAACTAGCTTAAGAACAAAAGGATTTATTGACCTCCATAACTGGCAGTTCCAGGGTTCAAGTGACTTCAGGGGTTTCAACAATGCCATCAGGACACTGTATTTCTTTCCATTTTCCAGACTGACTCTCTGTGTGCTGGGTAAGATACCACCAGAAGTCCAGGCATACATCCTGACGGTTTAGCAGCAACAGTGAAAAGACAAAAGGTATTTTTGCTGGTGGCTCCAGAAGAAAAGTCCCAGGAAAGATAGGTAGTGATGGATGTGGGCTAACTGCCCATTCATACGCTGGTCACTGTGGTCAGCAGGGCGGGGCACCTTGATGGACACACCTTGGTCACGTGCCCACCTCTTCAGCAACTGCTTGCCATTTTTGCTCTGATTTCTTTTGTTTTGACACATGGAGAATTCTCTTGTGTTTCCTCTTGGGTATGTATTTAAAACCTTTCCCTTCCCCCATATTTCATACAAAATTTGTATGTGTTTGGGGACTAGCGCAGTCCACCATATTGAAAAGGCGCCCTTCATGGCTTCTATAAAATTGAGCAGACCAGCCTGGGTAACATGGTAAAACCCTGTCTCTACAAAAAATGCAAAAAGACTAATTAGCTTGGCAGGGTGGTGCACGCCTGTGGTGCCAGCTACCAGGGAAGCTGAGGTGAGAGGATCGCCTGAGCCTGGGAAGTGGAAGCTGCAGTGAGCCGAGATCTTGTCACTGTTCTGCAGCTTGGGCGACAGAGCGAGACCCTGTCTCCAAAAAAGAAAAAAAAAGATTGATCATCCCAACTGACTTCCTGCTGTCTGTCTCATAGCCATCGCTCTCCAGATCTTCGTTTCTAGGGTTGACGCTCTGCTTTCTCTGCACTAGAGGAATGTTGGCCTGGCACCCTAAAAAAGATTTCAAGTCGCCCCATCACTGAAGAGAGGAACACAACGCCTTTGGTAATGGAACAATATTTTACCCCATGAACACACTCCAGTGACATAATTGCACAGTAAAGCCAGAAATGTCATTCATTAACTTCTTCACTATGCTGGATATTAAGAATACAAATAAAACTGTCATAAGAGTCATTCTACAAAATAACATTATAGAAATATAAGAGGAAATAAAATTAGTACATCTGTCCATGTATTTTGATTCCTCAAGACACAGTAATCCTGGTATTATTCAATTTGTTCTTCTATGGTCTGGTCTTATCTTTTTTAAAAATTAGGTTGCACTGCAACCTCAGTGGCAGGAGTGGTAACCTCATGTAAGATCTGCCTCACACCAGTGTCCTGTGAGAGCTTGTTACAGTCCTCCTGTGCTGCTTTCCTTTGACCTTTCTAGATCATTCCTGAAATGTGGAGCCACGTGCAGTAAGCCTCACAAGCTGTTTCCTAATTATCTTTACACATTCTATTCCCATTCCTCCCCCTGCAGTGCAATCTAGTTTTCACTTCTGTAGACTGGGTTCTCAGCCGCTCATCTTTTTATTCTCCACGTCCGGCCTGGCACTTTCTAAAGAATTAAATATCTTGGCCAGGCGCAGTGGCTCACGCCTGTAATCCCAGCACTTTGGGAGGCTGAGGTGGGTGGATTACCTGAGGTCAGGAGTTCGAGGCCAACCTGATCAACATGGCGAAACCCCGTCTCTACTAAAAATACAAAAATTAGCTGGGCGGGGTGTCAGGCACTTGTAATCCCAGCTACTCGGGAGGCTGAGACATGAGAATAGCTTGAACCCAGGAGGTGGAGGTTGCAGCGAGCTGAGATCATGCCATTGCACTCCAGCCTGGGTGACAGAGCAAGACTCAATCTCAAAAAAAAAAAAAAGAATTAAACTTTTTGGTCAAGTGTAGAAGGTTTCAAAATTTGCAAAGTGAAATGGTCCTTACCAGCCTTCCAAGATGGCAAGGAAGATCATCCTCATATATCTTGACTTTCAACTACCTCATATTATTGAAGATCTTTGTGTCATAAAAGTATTTCATTATTAGTTGACTTCTAATTTCTCATGTTTATGGAACAGATTGATGGTGCAAAGAGTCATAAATATTTTGAAAATTGTGTATATTGGCCATGGATAACTATAATTTCCCCTCTTCCATCTAACTTTTACTTACCTTAAAATACAAAAATTAGGCTGGGCGCGGTGGCTCACGCCTGTAATCCCAGCACTTTGGGAGGCCAAGGCAGGTGGATCACAAGGTCAGGAGATCTAGACCATCCTGGCTAACACGGTGAAACCCCGTGTCTACTAAAAATACACAAATTAGCCGGGCACAGCAGCATGCACCTGTAGTCCCAGCTGCTGGGGAGGCTGATGCAGGAGAATGGTG